ACAGCGAGTAAGGACTTGAGGGTGGATTCTGATTTGTGAGAAACGAAGCCTCGAGCTTAATGGAGGCAGAGGGAGCAACAGGAACAGGCTTCACGACGACGGGCAGAGTGAGGAACAACCCCAGCGCTCGCTGCTCTGCCCCTGGCGCCCGTTAACCTGCGCAGAGCGGGCTGAGAGGCCGCTCGGGGTTTAGAGGAGTCTGTCCCCAACTTGCTTACACACGGCCCAGCCTCGGGCGGCAAGGCAGGCGAGGCTGCAGGGACTCACCATGAAATTTCTTGTCCAAGATCATCTGTGACAGTTTCCTTTCTACCTCAGCCTGAAACCGAAGGAGAAAAATTAAAAGTCTCCCAGAACCACAGCGAGACAAGCAGGTTTTCCCACTCCGCACTCCACAGCCCCAGCGGGGTGCAAGCGCTGCTTAAAAGTGGCAATTTTGTCACCGACTGTGACACTGGGACAGATCTCTCCTGTGCTGCCAATGACACAGGAAATTAGGCAGTAGCTTTTAATGATGAGGGCACCAGGATGCCTTGCCCCTATCACCTCTCACAGGCTTTGCTCCCTGGTTCTGTGGGTATTTAGTCGGGTGTTGGCTGAGCTCTGCTTAAGTTGACCCCCCCAGCCACCCCCGCAGGAGCCAGCTCCTCTTTGCTCTTTGGACAGAGGACACACAGCCACGGTGTCGAAACGACTGGGGGCCAGCTTTTACTCAAACTGCGTGTCAAACACCTCAGGCTAGTCTAGGAGAAGACTAGGAGGAGAGGGGACGTAACGACCGCAAAGGCCGAGCTCAGGAGACTTTCAAACCCCCGGCCTTAATGGCAGCAACAGGACAAAAGCACTTTGGGATGCAACTGGCTGGAGACTACAGCGGATTTTCCTCAAACTTAATCTGGTTGGGATTATCTGTAAAGCAGTTATTGCAATAGTCAGTGTGACATACGCATCCCTAATGAAACCCCCAAGCGATTAGCCGGATCCTGTATCTTAAGGGTCTAAGGAAGATTCCTCTGGGCACACTCCGGAGGATTAAAAGCAGGTCAACGGGGAAGACCGAGCTGGTGATGACATGAGCTGTTCCTACAGCAGAGGAAAATCTGTCTCCAATAAAAAAAGCCAAGTGCTAACACCGGGAGTGAAACCCGTGCGAAGGAAGGGCACGTCACAGCCAAGTTTAGCGCAGGGGAAGCCAGTGCGACACCTCGTAGGGACCTCTCAAGGGTGATACCGGCCTGTAAACGTCACAGAGCTGACTTGTCGGGTTTAATCGCCTACGTTTATTTCCCAGTGGCAAATGTCATTTGGCTTCAATTCCTTCACCCTCTTTAAGATGTGCCACTGATTTCTGGTGATGTTCTTACCTTTGAGAGCTTGATGAGGCTGGATATGTGTTCAATCTACAAGAGAGACCAACAGAGTTAAGTAAACCTAAAGATTTACTGATCTATTAAGCTAAAGCTGCGCTCCTGACACCCAACACGGAGGTATGGGGCTCCTCCTCAGGATAGAGCGTTTACAGGCCCTCAAGCTGCTCCAAAAACCTCCAGCAGTTTCCTCAGCTTTGCAGCTGCACGTCCTTCAGATTTCATATCTAATTTTAACTGAAGATGGGCTAAACACCCAAAGCCATTTCATTCTGAAAGGAATAATGTTTCTTCTCTGAGACTGTCACAGCTTTACCCTGTCAGAGCCCTTAAAAAACAAACCTTCAGTGTCAAAAGCTCTCGGCGTGTGGAAGCGAAACAGGTGGAAAGGGCAATGACTCCGGAACGCAGCTTTCCAGAGTTCCCCTCAGCCCCCTCCTCCTCATTTATCAGCTGAACATGACGATCCCTGAGTCGTAGAAACGCTGAGCAGCTCCGAGTAAGAAGTATTTTGTGTGGGAACAAGTCCCTCACCCACCAAGAGCAGGGGACAGAGACACCAGCACGTCGGGGTGCTCGCTGCAGACCCTTACCTGTACTCTGGAGAAGGGTTCAATGACTCTGATCAGGTTCTGTTCCAATAAATTATCGTAGAGCTTAGCCAAGTGAGTGTTTATGATGGGGTCGTCCCTGAGCTCCACCTTATAGTCTGTCAGAGCCTGCAGAAGACACGGCGGCAACAAATGATCGAGGCAGCAACAGGTCTCCTGGCTTTAAGGCCACCCGAGCCTGAAACAACCCTCCCTCCCTGCCCACGGAGTGTCAGTGGTTAATCTCCTCCTGGAACTTAAAGCCCAGGAGGCAAGGACAGCCCAGCAGCCTTTCAGCCACCGTGCAGGGAGCATCTTTATGCTGTCGGAGCCTAGCAAGCCAAAATCTCTGCTCTGCACTCAGGGGACAGCATGACAGGATTGTTCCCTGACATGGGAATCCTCTCTCGTCTCTGCAGCATTCTTGCTGAAGCCGGGAAAAAAATTAGGAAGAAACACATCCCAGTCAATAGCATCAGAAGCATGGGGAACTGCTTCTGAGTTCCCTCTCCGAAAGAAAAAGGGAAAAAACAAACAAGTTTCAAGCTATTACTCCCCACATTGTGAAAACCAAACGGGCTGATTATTGTGGGGTATCTGCTCGACGCACTGTCGCTTTCTACGAACGCTTTTATAGTTTCCTGCTGTAGGATCCTGCAGGAAACTTCCCAAAACAGCAGCTTTTGTCCAGCCGAGTCCCGTTTTCCGTCTCCTGACTCACCTTTTCAAAATCTGCCAGCGATCGGTTCTTACTGGCCTGTGCCACACATTTTAGTGCTTCTGTCTGCAGAGGAAGGAAACAAGAGCAGGTTATTTCTCTGGATTCTCCTCATGGTGTTATTACGCCAACTGTGCAGCAGACTGAAAATGTGCTTAAGCAGCAAAGCAGGAACGTTCCTCCTGCCACAAAGCCGCGTCAGTGCTACTTCTAGGCAGGCAGAGCAAGAGCAGCTGCTAATAAGGAGAAAACCCATGGAACAGCTGCAGGACACAGCATGAAATCAGCTTCACGGAAACAAAGAACTCGAGTTTCGCGAGGTTTGAGGATACCAGCTGCGGCTCCTATCAGGTTGCAGGTCGGAGCGAGCTGGGTGCAGGTTTTAAGGGAAGCGCACGTTTCGGCGCTACGCGAGCCTTTTTCAGTCCTTAAGCCAGGCCTCTCCCCCGCGGTGCGCCGCCTTTCCTCTGCCGAGCAACAGAAGCGCGGCAGACGTCCTACCCCACCACAGCCAGCATCAGAAAATATTTCTTTTCTACCCCACAGCTGCTGGAAAAAAGACTTGGCCCCAACCAAACTACCATATTTACAACTAAACAGCTCCGGGACACCACTAGAAGAACAGTTTCCAAGTGGCAAGAGCCACAAGTGCAGGTTAAAATCTCCGGTTGGTTTAACAACTCCCCGGCTGCTTGGCTTCCACCTCACAGTCAGGTTTCAGGCTGCTCGGCTACGCTGCGACAAACGGGTTTTCAGGACTTGCTACGCCACAAGTGAAAACAACTCAGATTTAAACACGTCAGGTCCTGGCTGAGGAAGGAGCGCAGTTCGGCATCGGGCATTTAGCGGTTCATGAAGAAAAGAGGGAGGAGAAAACCAGAGAAAATGAAGCCAGCAGGCCAGATCCTCAGGTGGTGAAAATCACCACGTTCCCCCTGAAGGGCCTGGATTTATGGCAATTACTTCAGGTAATTTAATCAGTTCTGGATCACATTCAAAGAAGCAAGGGCGACTTTTGTGTGAAAAGGCCAAAGTATTTGATAAAAAGAACATCGCAACATTCTCAGAGATAAGAGGAAGATAGAAAGGAGTAAGTTTCCGTACCTGTCTTCCCGCATACCGCAGAGCAAGCTTTCCGCTCACTAACGCCTGCACGTCTTCGGGGCTAGAGAGGGAAGGGAAGAAAGCATTTATTCGACAACATGGATTTAAGCTCGCCAAGCGCATCTCAAAACTTCCCAACTGACAGCAAGTCACTACAAATAATGTTGTATCAGACAAAGAGCAAGCTTGTCCGAGTTCCTTCCTTAGTTTAGAGTCTTCTAACCAAAAAACCCTTCTCGTTTTTAAACCAAGGAAGCGTTCTGGGCAGAACCGCCTGCCACGTACATGTTCAGCATGATTTTGCACAGCAACATGTATTTCAGCGCAGTGATGGCTTTTGGGTTGTCGATGGAATCGTATCCCTCAAACGCCTCGTAAAAATATGAATAAGCCGTTTTCCAGTCCTTCTCTTCTGCTGCGTGGATAATACCTGGGGAGAGGAACAGACAGGCAGGCACCAGAGTTAATTCTGAACGGGACTGGAAGAGGACAGAACAATTTGGTTGCCCAGTGCTTTATCCTGTCCTTCAGTAAAGGGAATCCTTTCCTTGTGCGCCTCCCTCTGCACCTTATCTCTGTCAGAAGAGCATCCGTGCCCTCTCTAAAGGGACAAGTTAAGAGAGACAAGGTCGGGGCACTGCAGGTAAGTGCCTGCAAATTAGGTCAGGAACATCGTCCCAGTGACACTAACGGGGTGCAACGCTATGGTGCCCAGGGACGTTACGGACCCTCCACCACCACAGGTTTTTGAAAACGGGCTCAAAAAACACGCGTCCGGGACAACGTAATTAAAGCTGATCCTGCCTGGAGGAAGCTGGGCAGGCTTGTGGGTATCGTGAGGTCCCACCGAGCGTCGTTTCCTATGATTCACTCAGGAAAGAACAAATATCAGCCAACTGCTGCACCACGCCGAGCCCCGGGCTTTCCTTCTCTCCCGAAGGGCTTTACCTGACTGCATGTCTAACGCCGCTTGCAGCTTCGGCGGGCAGTAGATCGCGTTGGCCGTAGTCCGTGCAGAGGTTAAGGCTGCTCTCGCTTTTGGCAGGTTGCTCAGGGCATGGTAAGTCTTACTTTCTAACAGTTGTACTTCCACCAGCAACGCCTTGTCGTCCATCTTTTTCAATTCCCGAAGAAGCTGGGAGCCTAGCAGCGAGGGGAAAAAAGAACCTTTGTAACCCGCTCGACAGCTACACAACCCGAGTCCTTCCAGGTGATACCCGTCTTCCCCTCAAAGCAGGGTTCGGAGTAAGGGTTAGGCTGGGCTTATACAACCTGTTCTGCCAAAAAGAAACGAAGGAAAGGAACTAAGAGCGGGTCAGTGGCAGTCCCCAGCTGGAGAAAGATGAACCAGTTACAGGTGGGAGAGGGCGGCAAGAATAACTCAGGTGTGTGGACAGGACGTCTCTGCAACCTCATGGCGGGCAGCAGAAAGCCAAGGGTGGGCTGTGAGGTTGGGGCTGTCACTCTGGCAGCCCTTGCCCGGGTGACACATGGTTTGCCACTTGCGTTCCAAGTTCCGAGCAAAGCTGAAGCCCTGCCCATCCCTGCGGCCTTCCCCCAGGGCGAGACCTGAGGATTTTCAAGCCACTCCTGAGGATACAGGATGAGGAAGGAATGGTCTCGGCACAAGACATCTGCAGATCAGATTTAGAGGGCGGGAGTGGCCAGCCCAAGGGATGCCCAGAGAAACTGTCAGGTCAAAGCCTTGGGAGGACAGAACCAGCCTCGGAGGAAACTCTTGCAGGTTGGACTTGATGATCTTAAGGTCCCTCCCAACCTCGATGTTTCTATTATTCCTGTGATTCTTCCCCCCACTACAAACTAAAGAGATACCTTAGGGCAAGCAGAGAGGAGAACCTCATCCTCACTTGCTCTGCTTAGAAGGTGAAAATCGCAGCCAAAACTGCACAACTACGTGGAAGAGACATTCTGTAGAGACTCTGCTGGGACCTACTCGCCACGGACACCACCATGTCTGGGCCAGGCACATGGAAACGCTGGTGCCCAACAACGTCTCGATGGGCTTTGAGAGAGGCTGTTCTATAGGGACCGGCCACCACAGCTCCCCGAGCTGCACCACCAGCATCCAAGTGATTAAGTTAAGCAGAGCGTGGACTCCGATCAGTTTAAACCTGAGGTCCTCACCTCTCCGTACACAAACTAATTCTAACTCGATAAGGAATTCCAGGTACTGGAGCATGTAATTTGCTATTCTGATCAGAGAAATGCCACCCAGGTGACTCTGGACACGACACACGCTCTCGCCACCACGCTGCTTGAGAAGTGACAGGTCCCGGGTGAGCACGTCTGTCTGTGTCAGGGCACCGATCCCTCAGCCGAGCTGTGGGAGCAGCCCCTACAAATACCCCTCAGGCACCTTAAACCTCATCCAACATCGCTGCAGTCACCTGCAGAAGGAGCCTTTGAAAAGCCCCGAGGGGAGCTGGGCCGTGTACAATGACCTGCTTTACTCTGCTCTGTAGCAGAGGAGAGTTCACACGGTTCATTATCATCTCTCAGGTGGTGCAGAAGTGAATTCTTAAAGCTTTTACGCTGCTTCACAGGAGCTCGTCTAATGACGCCCTTAGAGGTTTGCCACTGCCTGGCGTTACTGCTGCTTTTACCGAGGCCGTATTTGAGCAAACAGGAAAAAGGTGGTTTCTCCCTCCAAGCCCTCCGACCGCAGCAGGGTGCTGCGTCCGTTCCAGCACGAACCAAACCCGACGGTCTTCAACTGGATACGGCTCCTCTTTGCTTCCAACACCATTCGAAACGAACTAATGGTGAGAACAAAGCGATCTCTAAAAGCTTTTATGGTCAAGCTATAGCAAAAGGCGGCAGAACTGGGTCCAGCACTGAGAAATTAAGGCCCCAAGTCCTACAAAACTTCTCAAGGAACATGATGTCGTTGCTCGATTCCCTCCTAAGCCTCAGGAGCAATCTGAAAGCACAGAGCTACTACCACCATCTAGTGGGAGCCTTACCGAGCTGCAGCGCTTCTTGGTACCTCTTGGTATCGAAGTACAAGGAGACCAGCCTCGCCTGGGGAACAGAAAAAGAAGGGCTGTGAGGAAAGCCAGAGAAAGGTGGAACTGATTTATTTGGTAAAATGACACTTCACATTCTTATCCGCCCCAGATTTCACTCTATTAATTAGTTTTCGTTACATTATACAGTTTAGTTCTGCAAGATCTACCCTGTGGAAGGCCGGCTAATCTAAACACAACAGGCAAAATCCTGCTTCTTCAAAAAGAGTCACCAACTTCAGGGTCATTGTTACCCCCCAGCCACTACATGTACAAGGGCCTGGACAACACGCTACGAGTTCTCTACTTTTCCAACTACTAAATTCAACCGAGGAAAGGGGCTGTTACACAGGGTAACATACCTCCAGAGCCTGGCGTAGGAAAGTCCTCTTCTCAGATTTGGCCCATTCGATACACTCTAAACACAGGTCAACCTTAAAGGAACCAAAAAGAAATTTGTAAAAGCCTCCTGCCGCCCTGCTCTGGAAACAGCGGTACGGCTCAACCGTCTCCTACAAAGCAACAGAAATACAAACAAAGCCTCAATCTCCAAAAAGGCAGTTTTAGGAAATCAGTCGTTCCTGTCTCAGCAGCATCGAGCCTGGAGATCAGGCCTCACGGTTAGGCATCCACTCCAAATGTCTCTGGGCGAATGTCACCAGGGGAAGCGTTGCTCACCGCTGACAGAGCTCCAAGGGAACGCGGCTTCTCCTCACCGAGGATCCCCGGTAACCCCACACGATGGCCCCGAGCCTCAGGCTGCAGCACCTTCACACCAGGGTTTAAACTCACAGAAATATTTCATAAAATCATGGTAGGGAAAAGCTATAGGATGCGCTACGTGTTTTCATACGCTGCTCACTAGTGCTACGGGCACTCTGCTATAACCAGTATTCACAGCATTATACTCCTTATAATATATATTGCATGAGAAAGTTCAGAAGGCAAACTAAGGTTTAGTTTAAGCTTTAGCCATCACACACAAAAAAAAAACCAAAAAAAAAAACCAACAGACCACCTTCCTTGCTCGCTTTTTCAACACTTTCAGCTGCTGATAACTTTTTCTGACCACCGGGCACAATCCTCCCACGTTGGGAGATGAAAATGAAGGTTTGGCTTCCAAAGTTTCACCAGTCACAATGACTGCTGAAATCCTAACGGCACTTCTTAAGCAGCTGTGGTTTGGTTTGAAAGAAAAACATCTGGGCACACGAGAGCTGAGGGCGAGGGATGGACTAAAAGACTTGGAGGTCCCTTCCCCTGCGTTTCACACCATTTCACGCAACCCTAAGAGAGAAACGGATTTTCAGCTGCTCTAGAAAGGAAGGAAAACAAAGTGCATGTGTTTTAGAGGCTAAATATGTCAGACCACGTGTGTCTTTTAGGAATATAAAGCAATGGAGGAGCCAGGCTCCACTGTTTCCGACAGAGTTAGGGGCCAGGAGCCAGTGAGCAACACGAGATATTTATTTTTACCTGAGTAAAGGAACCCACCGGCTTCTACTATTTTTAACGCCGCTGAGATTCTCCTGATGAACAAAGCGGTTGTGCTCCACACCAAAAAGCAGAGGGTATCAATTTAGTACTGGCCAGCAGCAAGCCATCCCGAGGGGCTTTTCCTGCAAAATCTCCAGACCGCAGCTCCTTCTGGAGCAGCTCGGAGCTGCAGGATTCCTCACTGCTGCTTATGAAATGAGGACATCTAACGAGAAGTCATTCTGAAGTTTCAGCTCGTTGCAGGGCGATGGCCGAAGCATTAGGAGCTGGAGAAACCCCTAATTTCCTTGCTTTACCAGACTCCTGACTGTCTTCTCAATACATGTTCCACGGAGGAAGCAAACGTCCCTCTGAACATTTCTGAGGTGTGGAACGCATTCAGGGCTACTGAACGGATCAAGGAGCTCACAGGTTAGGCGCCCTAACTCCTGAAGGTTTTGGGTTTGGCTTCTGAACATGCCTGAAAGCAGATATTTTGACTAACCGGGCTGTGTTTCCGTCGCCGTTACCCCCAAGCTCTCAGCTGCCACCTTTTGCAGTCAGACATCATCACTGGCGTCAGGTTACCTTTAGAAAAAGCTGCTCATTTTCTCCTGATGCCTTTAGGGGTTCCCTTCTCACCCGCGCATCCCACCCCGCTCCCCTCAATCTCTGCTGTGCAAGAGGGGCAGAAGATTCCGGCCCCGTGACACACAACCCACACCACCGCGACTCGGTCAAAGCAGCTCCTCGTCATTTCCAAGTTGCTCTTGTCCTTCTCCCGTTTCCAAATCACCGAGTCACAGGGACAAGAAAGAAAATCAACCATATTCGAGGGAGAACGGAGCAAATGCAAACTGTGGGCTCAGGCTGGATGGGTTTTCTAGCAGGGAAGTTCACCTGCTGCAAGTATTTTACACCTGGTAGCTGCAAAAACCTTTTCCGCTCCCACTTCAGGAGCGACCTGCAGCAGGACGAGGCGTGCAGAACGACACGGCTGTGAGCAAATGAAACAACCTAACGTTTTATAAACAGAACATTATCCAAAGGCATTAAATGGATGTTTGCTGGCATGAATAATTCTTCACTGTGGAGCAAACCAGGTCAGGGAACGGTGTTCCAGGCTTCTGAGGAACAGCCTTGCTGACACTGAAATCTCACCTCCTGTCCTGTCGCTGCCTCCATATCAAGGAAGAGATCGAGCAGAGATCGGACTAAGCGGGCTGCCTTTGCTTTGCTGATGGAGTTCAGGAAGGGTCGGACGTACTTCAGGAGCCCTCCCAGCTCTGTGGATCAAGGAAAACAAAAAAAAAAAACAAAGAAAAAATCAGATTGTGAAACACAGCGGCACAGCAGCCGGAGCACCCAACTCGTTTCTCACACCAAACATTTTATAAGCTGTCTCTTGACATCGCTTGCAGGCAAAAGAGCGATAAGTGTCACCTGGAGGAACGCCTCACGGCCGACTCGGGGACTGGCCAAGGCATCCCCTCACCCCAGTTCACCCAACTCCGAGGCCCTTTGCAACTCCGCTTGCCTCAGGCACGCTTTAAAAACTCAAACATCTGCTAAAAGCTTGGAGATTTATTGATTTTTCCTATAAAACAGGCAGCAGGGTTTACAGTTGAAGCATGTTTTTATTAACTTGATGTTTTAACCTGCCGCACTTTGGAAGGCCCGAACACCCTGCGCTCCACCGCCGAGAAAACGCCGTCGCTCAGCTTCAGCTCCACACGTGCGCTGCTTCAGCCTCACCGACGTAACCAGGCTGCTTCTACCAGTCTCCTCGCTAGTTTAGAGCTCTAAAACTAGTCTCAGGCTCAGGAAGGAGAAGTCTCAGTGAAGAAATACACTAAAACACCGTTCCTGCGGAGCAGAGGAGGGCGGTCAGCAGGACTCCGGGTGTCGGGAGATGCACGGTGCAAGTTAAAAAGTCTTCTCCTGCAATAAAACATCCCTGAAATCGCGGCTTCTTTGCCCCAGTTTTCAAAGCCTCAGCTGGATCTTGCACAATTTGATAGTTAAAAAAAAAAAAAACTAACAAAACAACAAACAAAACCTGCAGCGAGTATTTCCGCGTACTCTATACCAAGCTGGTATCGGAATCAGAATTAAAGAAGAGATTAATCTAATTTTATTGCAGTTCGTATACGGAGGAGTATCAGCAGAATTTCAGTTTGGGAGGATTCCAACAGAAACAGTTGCAAACACGGCTCCTTTCCCATTTCACTCAGGAGCAGGGCGCAAGAATTGTTATAATAACACCTTAATAACTGCAGATTATTCCTTCGATGGTTTACTTTCTCAAGCTATTTATTTTACAAGTTTAATCAAGCCTGATACAACTCACTTCTTCCACTGGTAACAAGTAGAACTCGGCGTCTTCCACCCCAACCGCTTGTGACGTCCTGACATTTCCGTCCACCTGAAGGCGTGGTTTTAGAACAAACTAAACTTATCCCAAACGCCCCCTAAATCCTCAGAGAAGTTTTATTTTCCAAAGAGCGCCGCAACAAATCATGACTCTCCCCACAGCGAGTCGCCTGGACTTTATACAGGGAACAAAACTAGGGCTGCCGTGCCTGAAAATTCATAAAAATGTTACTTTCCGTCTGAGAACAAACGGGCAGAGGATTCCAGAAGTGGAACGCGCTTACTTTAAGATTCAAGACTGAGATTTTCAACCAGGTTTTACACACCCAGGAGTTGTTACTTGCTGCCCCGCGGTAGACGATGACCTTGCCCTTCGTGTGCTCTTCCCCAACACGACTGACACAAGCACTCGGAAACACGACGGGGAACAAGTTTGCTTCTCATCAGGACACAGAACTGTGTCTTTTGAGCTGTGGAATGATGAATTTTCTGCTTTTTCAGTCTGCCTTAGCACAGCAGAGAGGCTTTCCGAGATGTACCAACTCTCAGACTCCTCTCGCTACCAGGCGTCGCTGCGTTCCAGCGGCTCCTCCGGACCAGATGAACAAAACGCTATAACACACGGGAAAGGAGCTTTAGAACGGGGGGAAAAATAAAGGAAAAATCATGCAAAACACACCCCAGTGCCATCTTTCCATCGACTCGCTCAGCAGAGGCCTGAGAACTCACCAGAAAGCAGATTCGAAGTCACCAGCTAGAATATACGCACGCATCCTGCAAAACCACACGTTTAGACAGGCAAGCTCAAAGCTCCCATAGAAATTTCTCTTTCCCACCAATGGAACTGTCAACTATTTTTAGGATTTTTTCTTGTTTTTTTAAGTGAAGGCAATGCTCAGTAAAGGGGTGTGATTGACAGCTCTGGAGAAATGATGAGCAGCAGCTCTGGAAAATGAAGGCTGCCGCTCATCCTCGGAAAAACCGCTTCCACGAGCCGACGTGCCACGAACCCCAATTCCTGGTCCCAGTTATTCCAATCCTACAGTTTTACATTTTCAAGCAACACTATTCTAGAAGTCCTAAAAAGAATAAAGTAATTAATCTACCGGTTCAATCCTTAATCCCTACCAAGCAGATAAAGAGGGTCATTTGTATTATTGTCTTTTTTTTTTTTAACAAAGGCCATAGTTCGATGGAGGCTGCTCATCTAAAAAACCCGTGGGTTTTACACTCTCAGCAGCCAAGTGCTTTTCATTTTCAAATCCCACCAAACCGCAGCTGATTTTTGCCCTGGGCTGTGGCTCCCGGAGCCTTTCACCTCCAGGAAGCAGCCACCGAGCGGCTGCAACACCTCAAACCCCTGAGCGAAATCCCACTGGCTACAACTAAATTGCGTGCAGCGAAATTCTGGCCAGAAATTTCCTCCCCTTGGAGATGAAGATGTGTGTGTCCACCTACTGCCAGTGTCTCCGCGAGCGGTTGCAGCCGAGGGAGATGTGGGCGCAGCCGAGGGAGATGCGGGTGACCCCGACAGCGCCTTTACCCCAGGACGAGCAGATCTCCGAGCTGCGATATCCCCTTTTCTTGCCCCTAGAAAGCACAACCTGGAGACCTCACTCCAATCTGCACGGACTCAACTGGCTTCTGAACGCCACCAAATTCATTTTCTAGCATTTGACGCAGAGTTCAGCGTTCCCTCCAACACGTTTCGCATTCGGCCACTCGCGACTCCGGTTTGGACGAGTTAACATTTGCAATTCCTTAGCCTTGCCCTTAAAAGACAAGAAATAACCAGCTAGCCGCTCGGAGCACACTGAAGTTCTTTTGCTCATGGAAGGCTTCGGCTTAAACTCAAAACTACTCAGGGCAGGGAGGCCATCGAGCACCCGACAACTCTCTCCGGCTTCCACACACCAGCTTGCGGAGACTCCTGCGATTACAGAATCACCGAATGTCA